ACCAGGCCTCTAGTGTGTGTGTGTGTGTGTGTGTATAATGCAAAGTGTCCCCTCGGGAGTTCGACTGACTGGGAGTTTGATCACTCACTCACTATGATGTGCGCTGACCAGGGGGTGAAGGAATGAAGGGAGGCCCCAACCAGCAGCTGGCAGCCGCTAGGGACCCTACCTATGCATGGATTTCATGCACTGGGACTGTAGTTTAAAAATAAACATTTAAAGAGTTTAGTCCAATCCAAATTCAAATCTTTAATCTCTAACCCAGGTGAAACCTGTCCCCTGACCCACGCCTGCGACTCTGCAGCCTACCCCTGGGCGGGGTTTGCGTGTCTCTCCTGCCCCTGCTCTGGTCTGGTTCTACTTTTCCCTGTTAGGTTTAGAGGGAGGAGGAGCCAGAGGCGAAGGAGGAAGGACCTTTAACTCAGGTGGAGCACTATGGAGTGAACTCTGAATGAGAGACCCAAATGTCACACCGCCAGCGATGCTGTCAGGTGGGCAGTGTGGAAAGCCTCCCCACCCTCCCCCCGCTGGCCACTGAGGGAGGTGCTGCCTTCTCTGGGTGTCTCCATCCCCTGCCAGCAGGGAAGCCATGATGGTCACTTCTGTCCAGGTGAGTCACTGGCTCCTGGGGAGTCAGATGCCCACTCCTGTACCTTGTGGTGTCCACGTGGAGCCTGTGCAGAGGTGTGGCTGTAGCCCATGTGCCCACGTGGAGCCTGCGCAGAGGTGTGGCTGTACCCCATGTGTCCACGTGGAGCCTGCGCAGAGGTGTGGCTGTACCCCATGTGTCCACGTGGAGCCTGCGCAGAGGTGTGGCTGTACCCCATGTGTCCACGTGGAGCCTGCGCAGAGGTGTGGCTGTACCCCATGTGTCCACGTGGAGCCTGCGCAGAGGTGTGGCTGTACCCCATGTGTCCACGTGGAGCCTGCGCAGAGGTGTGGCTGTACCCCATGTGTCCACGTGGAGCCTGCGCAGAGGTGTGGCTGTACCCCATGTGTCCACGTGGAGCCTGCGCAGAGGTGTGGCTGTACCCCATGTGTCCACGTGGAGCCTGCGCAGAGGTGTGGCTGTACCCCATGTGTCCACGTGGAGCCTGCGCAGAGGTGTGGCTGTACCCCATGTGTCCACGTGGAGCCTGCGCAGAGGTGTGGCTGTACCCCATGTGTCCACGTGGAGCCTGCGCAGAGGTGTGGCTGTACCCCATGTGTCCACGTGGAGCCTGCGCAGAGGTGTGGCTGTACCCCATGTGTCCACGTGGAGCCTGCGCAGAGGTGTGGCTGTACCCCATGTGCCCACGTGGAGCCTGCGCAGAGGTGTGGCAGCAACAGTGCTGCATGTTCACCGAAACCTTTTATCCTCTGAACACACAAGATGGCCACTTTGCCAGCCTCCTTTGTGGCTGGTTGGGAACCGGTGAGTTTTTTACTCGAAGGTAAATGGAAGTGATGTGTGATGTCTAGAGTGAGGCTATTAAGTGGAAGTATAACATTTCCATGCTCTCTCCCCCTGCCATTGCGGCCTTGAGGGCCACATGCTTGCGTGGCATTGCTACCTGATAAAGGGGCCTTCCTGACTAATATAAGACAGAAGACGGCTCTGCTCTTTTTAACATCTTGGAGCACCCTGAGAATTTTGCCATCTAAAATTTTCATGTTTTTCAGCATCGAAGAAAATTACTAGTATATTAAAACATTTTCCTTTTGGTAGGGAGAGTCCTGATTTCCCCCCGTGTGCCTATCTCATTTCTCCTCTGTGCTTTCTCCTTTTCGCCTTCTTATTCTGAACTATGTTCCTGTGGCAGAGTAGTTCAGTCAATAATTATTAAATTTCGCTGAGTCCTGGGGTTCTACTTTAGGAACTGCCACACAGTGAAGATCCTGATGAAAAAATCCATCCACTGACCAACAGGCTTATACAAGAAGTTTTTTTAAACTCATTACAAAGACTGTACAAAAAATTAATATAACAAGGAGCTGGTTCTTTGAAAAGACTAATGAAATTGACAAACACCTGGCTAGACTCACTAAAGAAAAGAGAGAAAAGACCCATATAAACAAAATCAGAAATAAGAGAGAATTCACCACTGACATCACAGACAAAGGATCATACTGGAATATTATGAAAGACTATATGCCACCAAATTCAATAACCTAGAAGAAATGGTAAGGTCCTAGAAATATATAACCTTCCTAGACTAAACCATGAAGAACTGGAAAATCTAAATAGACTGATCAGCAGTGAGGAAATTGAAACAACCATCAAAAACAGACACACAGATCAATGGAACATAATTGCAAGCCCAGATATAAAATGACATGTACATGGGCAGATAACTTTTGACAAATGAGCCAGAAACACACAATGGAGGAAAGAAAGCCTCTTTAATAAATGGTGCAGGGAAAATTGGAAAACCACTTGCAAAAAATGAAACTGGATTATAGTTTGTCTCCATGTACAAAAATTAACTCAAAATGGATCAAAGACATAAATATAAGACCCAAAGCAATAAATTATATAGATGAGAGAATAGGTAAACTTATGAATCTCGGTCATAAAAAACATTTTATGAACTTGACTCCAAAAGGCAAGGGTAGTAAAGGCAAAAATAAATAAATGGAACAATAACAAACAAAAAAGCTCTGCACAGTGAAGGAAATCCACAAGAAAACAAAGAGGCAGCTGACCAAATGGGAGATGATATTTGCAAACTATTGCTCCAACAAAGGTTTAATTTCCAAAATATAGAAACAACTCACAAAATTCAACACCAACAAACAACCCAAATTAAAAAATGGGCAGAGGACCTTAATAGATGCCTCTCCCAAGAAGACATACGAACAGCCAATAGCTGTATGAAAAGATGTTCAACCTCACTGGCCATTAGGGAAATGCAAATCAGAACTATGAAGCAGCTGAGGGCTGGGAGGACTTTAAGACGTGCCCAAGATCACACAACTTCATTTCTCTGCTCTACAAAACCCCTATTTCCTTCTAGAAGTTATCACATTAGACTTGTAAGACCATGACCGTGTCTTGTTCCAAAGCTCACATTCATGTTCACCACACCATCTGGGTGCTTGTCCTCTCCCTGCAGTAGGGCATCTCCCAGAGTTGACTGCCCCCTCCAGCTGCCCCCTCTGTTTCTTTCTTAGAAGTAGAAGACTTTGGGGAGCAAGAACAGAGCTCAGCTTCTCTGTCCTGAAAACCAGGGTCAAAGCTCTTGACTTCACTCCAGCTTGGGATGCAGGCTTTCAATTTAGGAGTATGCCGTGCCAGAACTCAGTCCAAGGCCATCCAGCATAATTGCTAGCTATGGGCTTGGAAAGCAAGTCATGTTTCTGGACAGCACTGACCAATTCTCTATTGCTGTTTTCTTCTTCTTCTTCTTTCTAAAAAAGGAATAGAAATTTGAGTCTCTATAAAGTAACAAGAGTTCAGGGACAAGCAACAGATACTTGTGTCCCAGAATTGCTGCACCAACCCTTTTCAGTAAAGTCAATTACTGCCACACGCTGTGGGACGGAAGGAAAGAAGTGCTGATCATTTTGTTTAAAACTGTTCTGAGGGTGACTAATTCATGATGTGCTGGCAAAGGAGAGCCAGCTGTGCTCTTGTCTCTGTCAGAGCTTTTCTAAGACAAAAGTTTCCTTGGGAACCTGAAGTCAAAAAGGGAAGAAAACCAAACCTCCAACTCAGTTTCCAGCTGTGTGCAGATGAAGCCCTGGATGGTGGGAGATTGCCCTGTTGAGTGTACCCATCAATTAGTCTCATGAGGGTGGACTGGATATGGTCGTGACCCACTGGGGAGGGATATCCGTCATTCCTTCCCACACTGGAGTAGATGGGTTTCCAAGAGCAGATGACAAGGATCACAAGGATTTGGGGAATCTGGCACCAAAGAAGGTTGGAACAGACCAGGTTTCTATTGCCAATATCATTTTCTGGATAATTAGACCAAAAGCTTCAGGTAATCAGTAGCTTGCTACTGACCTAAAATTCCAGAGTAATTCCTTTCAATCTCTGCTTTGCAGGTGGAAGTTGGTTTCTCTTCCCGTCATCTTGCAAATCTCTTTTTCTATGAACAACTATAGATAAGCAAGTGCCCACCATCCTGTGGGGCCTTGATGACCCCTGCTTTGAGGAGCTCACTGACTGGTGGGAGGAAACAGGTTAACATAAATCTGAGGAGAAGCTCTCTTCTGAGTGAAAAAAAAAATGAGATGCTTTTTTCCTGAGTGCTAAAGAACCAGAATGAATTACTCAGAAGAAGGGCAGTGACAGGAGATAGAATTGGGCTGTTTCAGGCCAAAGGAGCTGCATTTACACTTATGCAGGTTTGAAAGGCTTCTTTCAGGAGAAAGATTGGAAGATGGAGGCTGAGTAGGTGGATCATGTTTGCAATGCCTCCCAGAACCAAACTGGAAATTACAACTAAATTGGGGAACCATCACCCTAAGTTACCAAATGTAGACTATCTGAAATGGAGACTTTTAGCCACAGACTGGCAGGAGCCACCTCGAGACTGCTTCGGACACGTCTCCAGGGGCCAGGGCCACGTGGGCACCATCTGACATTGGCTTGCACCAGAGAACCTCCCTGGAGGACCAGAACCAGCACACCACGTGGCCAGCTTTGGACAACCTCGGAGCAGGACCAAACAAGCTTCACAACAGCATATCCAGGGGAGGTCGCAGCAGGCACTGAACCCTGCTGAGGCAAACTCCACCTTTTCTTTTTTATTATTTCCTCTATTTTTCTTTTCTATTTTTGTTTGTTTTTCTTTTTTCTTCTCTCTTTTACCTCATATCTATTTCCTTTCCTAATTGCATTTTTCTTTCCTTATTCTTTTTTTCATTTCCTTTTCCTAATTCTTTATTTTCTCTTTTTTCCTTGTGTTTCTTTAAAATTCTTTTTTCCTCTTTTTTACTTAATATTTTTTCTTCTGTTTTATTATTCTTTTGTTCATTTTTTCTTATTATTTTTGTTTTTATTTTTGTTGTTGATGATGTTTTTGTTTTCTTTTGTTTCATTCTATCATCACCTGTAAAACAGTTGGCACAATGTGATTGTGGTGGAGCCTCACAGTCAGCCAGCCTGAGGGCCAATCCAACCCATGAATGAGTCAACAGCAATCAAGATGCAATTACAACAGGAGGGCCCACATAACCCACAAGGGACATTTCTAGAGCACCCAGCTCAGGATATCAAGGAGACTGCACCACTGAGACCAGAGCACACCTACTACATTAGGCCAACCACAAAGTCTGGGAGTCTTAGCATTTGTATCTAATACATAGAAACAAACACAAAGAGACAGCTAAAATGGGGATGTAAAGAAACAAGTCCCAAATGAAAGAACAGGAAGAATTTCCAGAAAAATATTTAAATAAAATAGAGGTAAGAAATTTATCAGATATAGCCCTTTGTACACCATAAGCAGACACAATCAAAGGACCTCCCCCACACGCCAAGGTGTAAATAGCCAAAAACCTTGCATGTCAACTCTGGTCACCCAATTTTAAAATAAGACTTGTTGGTGACATCTCTGGGTTTGTAAAAGAAAATTATGGTAACTTAAATTTGTAAATATTCCAGCGCATATGGAAGAAATGGGGATGGTTTCCATTTTGGACATGTGGCAGTTAACTGTTTAAAGCTCAAAGTAATGGTTTAAAGGATGTTCAAGGAAAATAGTGAGAACTGCAAGGAACTTGTAGGAACTTAGTGGGAACATCAACTGTATGAAAAAACACACATAAAAACCATATATAACAACCAGTTGAAAATGAAGAATACCATATCTGACATCAAGACTACCCTGGAAGGAATTTAAAAGTAGGTTGGATGAAGCAGAGGATAAAATCAGTGATTTGGAAGCAAGGTAGAGAAAAAACAATTAGTGCAGGAAAAAAAGAATTAAAACAAATGAGGATAGTTTAAGCGAACTTTGGGACAACATGAAACATAACATCCACATCATAGGGTGTCAGAAAGAGAAGAAATTGAGCAAAGGATAGAGAACCTGTTTGAAAAAATAATGGTAGAAAACTTGCCTAAAATAGTGAAGGAAAATGTCACACAAGTTCAGGATTCACAGAGATCCCAAATCAAGATGAACACAAAGAGACACACACCAAGACACATCATAATTTAAATGGCAAAGTTTAAAGACAAAGAAAGAATCTTAAAGGCAGCAAGAGAGAGATAGTTAGTTACATACAAGGGAGCTCCCAGAAGGCTGGCAGCTGATTTTTTACCAGAACCACTTCAGGCCAGAAGGGATTGGCATGAAGTATTTAAAGTAATGAAAAGCAAGGTCATGAAACCAAGATTACTCTATCCAGTGAGGCTATTGCTTAAAATTAAAGGCAACATAAAAAGTTTCTTAGCCCAAAAAAAGACTAAAGGAGTTCATTACCATTAAACTACCATTGTAATAAATGTTAAGGGACTGCTTTAAGAAAAAAAAGAAATACATACAGAGAAGAACATAGGCATAAAGAAAAAAATGGCAATAAATAAGTACCTATCAATAATAACCTTAAATGTAAATGCTCCAATCAAAAGACACAGGGTAACAGAGTGGATAAGAAAATATGACCCATGTATATGTTGTCTACAAGAGACCTATCTAAGAACAAAAGATTCAGAGAGAGAAACCAAGATGGCGGCATAGGTAAACACCGGAAATTGCTATTTCGCACAACCACTTCAAAAATACAACTAAAAGACAAAACGGACATCATCTAGAACCACAGAAAGGCTGGCCGAATTGAAATTCTACAACTAGAAGGAAAGAGAAAAGCACACTGAGACTCAGAGGAGGTGTGGAAGTAAAGTGCAGAGGTACGGAGGTGCACATGGAAAGGGCTGGCAACTGAGGACGCAGCTATCTTTTTCAATTGGGAGGGAGACACAAGCTCCCGAAATCTCTGAACTCCAGTTCAGGGTGAGTCTCTGGGGACCCAGACTCATACGGGGAGAAACTGGACTGTCTGGCATCGGTTGGAACTCAAGGGTGGCTTTCTCTCAGAGGTGCTTGCAGCGATTACTGGGACACTGAGACGTGGGGCCTCTTAAGGTAGGACTGAGGAGCAGCCATAGCTGCTTGATCCACCCTGTTGATCCCCTGAGACCCCGCCCCACCCAAGCTGTGCGCAGAGGCTTTTGCATTTGAAAGGCCTGGCCCTTTGCAATCTGAAAATTACCTAACAAACTGCAGCTGGGTCAGAGAGACCCAGAACTTCCAAAAGAAGGCCCAAGGCCCCACAGCAGCTTGCATTGCTTCACAGCTGGGCCTCATCTGGGCACCTCCAAACCCCAAACAAAGAAGAGGAATCTGCAGATCTCTCCATAGCTCCTGCTGGGTAGCCTCAGGCAGAGGCTAAATTAGCACCTCCTTAGAGATCCAAGAGCCAGTGTACCCAGTGGTCAGAGTGGGACCATCCAGATTACAACTCCTCAGATCCATAAGGGACACACTCAGGGGGCAGACTCAGTGAGCACCAAAGCCCCACTGAAGCAAGTCTTGCCCCAGAAGGGTGTCTCCAGCACAGAAGTTCTCCCACTGCAGACACAGCTGATTCTCACAGCCAATTGGCCTGGAGGTCAATTCCTCCCAGTGACACCTAAAACAATCAAGGCATAACTACAACAAGACTGTGCACAAAGCCCACAAAGGGGTGCACCAAGAGTATTCACCTCAGGTAATTGGGGAGGCTGAGCCACTGGGCCCTATAGGACACCTAGCACACAAAGCCACTCTATCAACACAGGGAAGCATAAAAAATGCAGAGACAAAGAAACAGGTAACAAATGACAGAAATGGAGGAAAGCAAACGACTGGATATAGAGTTCAAAACCACGGTTATAAGGTTTTTCAAGAATTTTCTAGAAACCGCCGATAAATGTAGTGAGATCCTCAAGAAATCTAGTGAGACCCTCAAGGTTATGAAAAAGGACCAACTAGAAATTAAGCATACACTGACTGAAATAAAGAATAATATACAGAGATCCAACAGCAGACGAAATGGACTTACAGGTCCAAGAAGCGCAGAGAACCCCAAACAAAAGGAATCCAAAGAGGACCACACCAAGACACATCATAATTAAAATGCCAAGAGCAAAAGACAAAGAGAGAATCTTAAAAGCAGCAAGAGAAAGAAAGTCAGTTACCTACAAGGAAGTACCCATATGACTGTCAGCTGATTTCTCAACAGAAACTTTGCAGGAAAGAAGGAAGTGGCAAGAAATATTCAAAGTGATGAATAGCAAGGACCTACAACCAAGAAGAAAATTCGTCTGGACCATCGTCCAATTCCATCATATGGGCCCATCTCTCCCTATCTTCTAATTCTCTTTGGGAGATAGCAGAGGTAAAATTCCAAAGGGGTGTATGAGATGGCGCTGACAAATCGCCTATGGAAAGGGCATTTAGGAGTTGATCAGGGGTAGTTAGAGGAGGAAGGGAGGTAGGGTATCTATGTGTAGAGTATAAAGCAAGTTCTGCTATAGTTATGTAGTCTCTAAGCAATGCCAAGAGATGAGGTCCTGTTTCTCCAGGTAAATATTCTATTAATGCTTGTAAGTCATCTAGAACTGAAAGGATAGTTTCTGTAACACCTCCTGAAAATACATATTGGTATATTCCTGTATATTGATTCAGTGGGTCATGCTCAAATCTATGATACCAAGATGGATTACAGATATCAGGATAAAAGCATCTGTAACCTGGTCTTTGAGGGTATTGTACAGGATATAAGGGGGTAGATGTGTTTAGTGATGGGATTTCATCGTCAGGTGGTGGAATGGGCAAGGGGGGTATATCAGGGGAGTTGGGTGGGTTGGGGGCGTTTTCTGCATTGGTCAAGGGTTCAATTACAGCAATTTTTACTTCTCGCAAAAAATTGTCTGTGTCTTGCTCCCACTGTTCCATTTTAGTCTGGTAGGGGCACAGACGGTATAATTGTATAAAAGAGACATAGGATCCTGAAGCTGTGTGAGTATGTTCTGAGCAAGGCCATGATGAGCAGTTGAATAATTTGTATTATTATGTGTAGGTATAGGTTTTCTCCATCTACACCATGTAAGGGATAGAGTTGTCCAAGCTATCAATATTAATAATAGCATGATCAGAAAAAGCATTGTACAATGGACTATTTTTATGCACATTCTGTTCTAAATAAGTGACCAAGATAAGAAGAATCTTGATGATGATAGCTGATGATATTAGTGCACAGACAAGTATCCACATCTAACTGAGGGATTGTGTATTTTGAATCTTGACTTGTTGCAAGTGGCCTTTGTTATTAACAGTCCGATATAAGGAAGAGCCACTTTGTGCAAGAATTTCCTGTGGGGATAAAGAATTATCTTTAGGATTTCTTGCCAATATTTCGTAGGGTATCTGTCTGTGGGCAATATCAGGTGGTATAAATTGATATTCTTTTATATTTAGAATATGGGGGTTGTATAATTGTTCTAGTGGTGAGAGTCTGCCTTGTCTTGGTCTGCAGTTTAACAAAAGACATGATCTATTCAAAAGTTCCTGCAATGAGTTAAATTTGGAATCTGTTAAAATAGTTTGCATTTTGTGTTTAAGAAGGCCATTATGCCTTTCAATAGTGCCAGCTGCAGTAGGGTTATATGATAAGTGAAAATTCCAATCAATATCAAATTCAGCTGCTAATTTTTGTACAGGTGTTGCTGTGAAATGTGTACCTTGATCAGATTCGATAGTCTGTGGTGGTCCATAATGCATCATCCAATTTTGGAGTGCTTTTATGGTGGTTTTAGCATCAGGATGTGATGATGCAGTTGCTGATAATATGCCTGTATTTACATCAACTATGGTACATGCATATTTCTGTGGATTGTTGAAAGGCCTGTTCTTGTTCTTCCTGCCAAGTGAAATCAACTGGTTTTCTAGTTAGCTTATAAATAGGTTTAGCTACATCTGCTAGATAAGGTATATGTTGTTTCCAAAACATAAAAAGTCCCATTAGTTGTTGTGCTTCCTTTTTATTAGTGGGGCTTTTAAGTGAATCTATTTTATTGATGACTTTATTGGGGATAGATCTACCTACAGAGTTCCAATTAATACCTAAGAATGTTGCAGAGGTGTCTGGCTGTTGTATTTTATCAGGATTTATTGTCCAACTTTGGCTTTGCAAATGGGCCACCAGAGACTGTAAATCTTGTGTAAGCACATTAATATCATCATGGTATAGAATGATATCATCAATATATTGTAAAATTTTGGAAGAATAAGCTTTAGGGTCAATATATGATGCTAGTAAGGTGTGTGCAATTACTGGCGAGTTTTTATATCCTTGTGGCAGCCTTTTAAATTGATACTGTTTGTCTTGCCAGGAAAATGTGGTATATTGTCTAGAATTTTCATGTAAGGGAACTGCAAAGAACATATCAGAAAGATCAATAGTAGCCATAAATTTGGGTGAATCTCCTTGAATCAAATTAATAATTTCTGCAGCATTTGGAAGAACACCTGGAACTGTTGGTGAGAATTTATTTATATTTCTATAGTCCACCGTAATATGGTATGTGCCATTAGGTTTTTTAACTGGCCATATAGAACTATTATAAATATGAGACCTGCCTAATTCAATAATATCCTTTTTTAATAATTTTTCAATTGCAGAAGTTACATCAGCATGGCCTCCTTTAAGAGGGTATTGAGGAGTGAAAGATGGTTGAGTGGGTGTTGGTAATATAATTGGTGGTATATTGATTGCAGTGAGATTAGAAAAGAATTTTGTTGCAGATAGGGATTTGGTATAGGAATTATAAATTAAAGGAATGAGATCCATACCAATAAGGTTTGGAACATTGGGTGCAACATATAACACTGCAGAGAGTTGTCTATCTCTATATAGTATAGTGCAAGAAACTGGTTTGGCAGTAATTGAGTGTCCAGTAACTCCCTCTATAGTTACATTATTGGAGTTATCTGTAATATGATGATGGTTAGAAGATAAAGAAATTTGAGAGCCTGTGTCAAGCAAGAATGTAGTAGGGATTATTTTTCCAGAAGAAATTTTAACATTTAAGGTAATATATGGTCTGTTATCATATTTTTTTGTAAAAAATATCTTTTAAAGTGAGGGTAGGGGGTTTAAAATTAACTTTTAATTGCGTTTCCGGTCCCCGCTCCATTGTGTGAAATGTGGTCGGGGGCCCTGGGAGTTTCCCTGGCCAATTTGAGAAGGATTGTTTTGGGGTTTTTTTAAGGGATTGTTTTGGGTGTAAGTAAGGTTAGGAGTTCTGTCATATTCTCTTTTGAAAGGGTTATTACTGTATTTTCTTTGTTGAAGATTTTGGGGTGGACCTCTTCTGAAAAAAGGATTATTATTCTTCCAATAGGGTTTTTGTTGTTTTAAGTATGTCTTATTTGGTTGCATTTGCCTATTGGTTTGTGGGTACATATTTTGAGTTCCTCTAATATTATAATTTGGTTGCCTTCTTGTAAAAAATGAGTATGAATTTTTTGTTGTCAGGTTTTGAAGGCTTTGCCTGAAAAGTATACTTTTTGTCAGAAATTAAGTCCTCATGAAGAATAAGCTTTTGCTTAATCTCCTCTGGAGTAGAGGCTCCAGCTAATAAATTTTGCATTTGTATTTTATAGCCCTCCGGGGCATTTCTGATTAGGCATCTAATAATACCATCTACGTACTTACAATTCCAAGGATTGTCTACATCCTCATAGATGCCATTTAATAGTGTAAGTTTTCTTAATTGGTGTTGTAATTGGCCTAAATTGTGCCATTGCTTGGAAAATTGAGAAGATGAAAAATCAATATGTGGGAA